CACACACATGCTCCACCACCAACCGACCAACACGATACTCACCATTATCCCGATATTCTGCTGACCCGACCTCCGCAGCCAACTGCTTGTCTCCAAGATGGCTATAAGCCCGGCAAGTGAGCCCAGGACTCCGAGTGCAATCTGCAGAAGATGGAGAGCATGTCATAACTGGAAAACGGCTAATGTTTTTATAAACAGGTCAGAGCTCTCATTCACTGTAAATTGCAGCTTGAGCTACTGAGCTCTCTAAACAACAAAGAAGTGAAACGTATATAAAAGAGTACGAGATTCTATAAACAGTATCTGATATTAGCGCTGCCCAAACTGTTGGCGCTATATAAATCCTGTATAATAATAATAATATTAAAACATAGAAAAAAGGTTTAATATTTATTTTTTAAAGGAGAACCATGAGGTGGGTGATTTTCACACTAATGTCGGGCTCCATCCCTGCTGCGGCGATCTCAGTATACCAGGAGCTGTAGCTCTCTATATACTGAGCTTTGGGTGACGGGAGGGCTCTAGTATATGTCCTCCAGTGACCCTTAGGGAGAACTATGGGTAAAAGCCCTGACCCCATAGTTCTCCTTTATGTACTTACTATAGTAAAATGTTACATTAATCTAGAGGAAGTTCTGGATACATTTCCTTCAAACATTTCATTGTTAGGTTCTCCGTGGCAGCGCAGGCTCTTGATAAAAAGTATTTCAATGGCCACCAAGACAACAAAATAACGATAACACCCCTATACGCCCTTAACCCCAACGCTCCAACACACCAATGTGGAAATGATGTTTGCTGGGGAACCTTTTGGGATGTTTTACATATAAATAGTTGTAACTTTGTTTCTCTTTATATATAATAATGGAAGTGATAACTAAATGTCAACAGCGGAAATGGGACTCTTTAGGGATACCGTGACGGCGGTCACTTACATCCGTGTCTCTTTTAAAGGTCCCCTGGCTCTGCGTATATGTGACAGCAAATGAAACCTGAGAAGAAATGACACGGAATTAATACAACTCTGCAACTTAAAGTACATCCAATCGCTGAATCCCTGATAATCTGTAACACGTTCCTGTCGTTTTAAACGTTTTCAGTCGTTTTAAATCTGCAGCTTTCATTAAAATAATCCTGCCATGAAGGTCCTCGTTGAGGCACTTCCTGTTACAGGGTGACAATGCTCTGTCCCTGTCCCCCAAATGTGCTCATGCGTTGTCACCCTGTCACATGGGCTTCTGATGGAGAAGTGACTGTAACACTCCGAAAATAAAGATTATTATTGTAAATTACCCTCAAATTTCATTAACTGTTCTGCTAATTCAAAGCCATTGAAATAAAGCAGCAAAGGATTCTGGGAAGTTGACCCCCGGCGTAGAAAGAAGCACTAACCTGTGCTGAGGCCTGTAGGCTTAGATTCTGATATGTTACGGTGAGCTGGAAGGGCGGCTGGCTGCTCGGAGGGCTGACCGGAAGGAAGACGCTGTGTGGAAGGGGGTGCAGTGGTTAGTAAAGCAGGACAGGAGCTGTGTATGGTGGAACACAAATAGATCATGGTGTTACCTCAGGGTGAGGCTTGTAGCGACGGTGACAAAGGAGGGCTGACTGGAGAGGTTGTTCTGTCTGCTGGAGATGCCGTCAATCAGGAAGAACCGCCGGAGAGCGTTGGAGCCGAGAGTGCCTACGGAATCATGGGACATCAGAGGCCAATCAGAGCCCTGTTATATGCAGATCATGTCAGGGTGAAACAATGTGAACTACAAGTCCCAGACTGCCCTACCAGCCAGTAGTCATTTGTAGACATTTCCTCCGCCCCTCCCACAATGGGGAGATTTCCCCCAGTAGTTTGTGTCTCTGCCCCTCCCCCAATGGCGAGATTTCCCCCAATAGTTTGTGTCTCTGCCCCTCCCACAATGGTGAGATTTCCACCAGTAGTTTGTGTCTCTGCCCCTCCCACAATGGTGAGATTTCCCCCAGTAGTTTGTGTCTCTGCCCCTCCCACAATGGCGAGATTTCCTCCAGTAGTTTGTGTCTCTGCCCCTCCCACAATGGCGAGATTTCCCACAGTAGTTTGTGTCTCTGCCACTCCCACAATGGGGAGATTTCCTCCCAGTAGTTTGTGTCTGTGCCCCTCCCACAATGGGGAGATTTCCCACAGTAGTTTGTGTCTCTGCCACTCCCACAATGGGGAGATTTCCTCCCAGTAGTTTGTGTCTGTGCCCCTCCCACAATGGTGAGATGTCCTCCAGTAGTATCTGTGATGGGGAGAGCTGTGACAATTGGCAGAACTGTGAATGCTGGTGGTGAAATCTCACTGCTGGGCTCCATAGGTCACATGGGGATACAACCTACCGGCATTGTCTGCTGCTGACACAATATATATATATATATAATAAAACCTTCCTATCAGTGTCATCAAATCTCACTGATTATGACCCACCTGAGCTGCCCTGGATGTTGGCATTCCACACCGGTATCGGCCACAGCATGCTGGCACCGCTGGTACTGGTATAGGGGAGGAAGAGCTCGTAGAATACAGGCTCCGGCACCGCTTGGAAGAGATCGGACACAGACAGCGAACACTGGAATCACCGGGAAGAGAATGACATTATTATGGGCCGATGGCGGAATCATGACAGTGGGAGGAGCTTCAGATGTGGCGTCCATTAGTGTCAGAGATCCCAAACTTTATATATAATATACAAAGTAACATAATAATGAGGGATGAGGATGGAGTCCACCTGAACAGAAGTTATTTGCAGTTTGATGATCGGCTGTCAA